GATGGTTGGACAGTGTCATTGAAGCTACCAACATGAATTTGACCCAACTCTGGGAGGCAGTGGAAGACAGGAGGGCCTGGCGTGCTCTGGTCCATGGAGTCACAAAGAGTCGAACACGACTTAACAACTAAACAACAACAATATTCATCCCTTCCTTCCCTATCTGCTTATGCCACCGTGCATCAGCTGTTCCTTGGGGGCATAAGCTGAGAGGGCTTTTCCCTTCAAGTGGCTTGCTAAAGATAAAGGAAATACTACCCGCAAGGTGGGGGATAGCTTGGATCCCCTTTCCTCCTCTTCCTCCCACACAGCATAGGAAAAGGAGCGTAGCCTGTCAGAAGTGATCCCCCATCCCATCTTTTCAAAGATAGGAGGGGTGAAGGATCGTCTGGGTCCCCCTTTGCTCCTCTTCCTATGCCCTGGTGGGGAAAGGAAGAGCATAGCCTGATCTAAATGATCCCCCACACTCACTGTCTTTGCAAAGATAGTGGGGGTGGGGGATTGCTTCTGACAGGCTTCCCTCCTCTTCCTATGCCGCAGCAGGGATAGGAAGACCAGGGAAGCCTGTCAGAAGCAATTCCCCACCCACAATGTCTTTGCAAAGGCAGCGGGGCTGAGGGACCACTTTGACCTCTTTCTTCCTATGCCATGTGACATATGAAGGCTGTTGGGGGCTGGCTTTTTTGTTGGCTTTTTTTAGACAGCCCTATGGGCTGTCTAGAAAAACGAAAAAATGACTCAGCAAACCAAGGAATTGATTCATAGTTTGTCAGGCCACGGGAGGGGGGGCAATTAATGGTTTGATGACCCAACAACCAAGATGAAGCCCCATTTTGGTACTTCGTCCCCATCTCTAGTTATAATCCGCTGTCAAGAAGCAGGGCACAAACTACGAAATAAAAAACAAATCAAACCCTGGTTTCTCCTTGTATAATATTAAAACCTAAAATTTGTAGAGAATTAAAAGTACCACAAATCCAGCTACGATCTTTAAGAATGGGAAATAAATTACTTTTTCTATGACATTAGCATAGATATTTAAATACAGCTAAGGTTAGCATATTTTACCATAGGTCTAATTACTTCAGTGTGGAGGGACTGAGCTATAGGCTAATTTGAATACGGCAGTGGAACTTTTGTTTTTTTGGCAAAACTACAAGAACTAAAGTCTGACTGAGAAACACTGGAAGCGTCAAGAAAAAAAATTGAAGCTACAGACTGACTGGATGTGTTTTAATTTTAGATTCTAAAGCATATAGCTCACCTTCAATGTTATACTTGTTTCACCGACTCCTACCCAGGCTTGGTTCCGCACATGGCCACGGTAAACGGAATTCACAGAGTTGAAAAAGCTGGACTTCCCAGCACCAATTTGACCAAGTAAGAGAACCCGGGCCTTTTGCACTGAATCCAAAAGAGGCTTAAATGCTGAGATCTCGTCTATCAATCTTCTTCTTTCCCTGTTAAGAAAGTGAGACACATCAGCTTTGCAAAACATGCCAGTATTAACCACATTATCTTAGACAGCTCCAAATTGTTCTTTAAAAATACTTCAAAAGCATAAGGAAGATTGTATAAATGACCAAACTACCTAATATGTAGGTGGAGTGACTGTACGCTTTTGAACGGGCTTCATTTTAAATGTCATCCTTAGTAAGCACAGCAAGTATCATCTTTGTTAACTGCCTGATATTTAGCACAATGCAGAGAAATATGGGTCTCACTTGACCTTTCCCCTCCTTTTGAGGCAGGAATCCCTATGCCAAGCTGTTATTTTATTGTTGGTTTTATACTAGCGAACTCTTCTTAATGAAAAGTGCTGGGAGTCATTGGGTTTCTCTCCTGCTTTAAAATTCTAGAACTCATCAGACCCAATGGGCCATACGCTTGTAAGGCATTGTTTACACGATCTTAGGGGATTACACAAAAGAAGGGTGGGCAGCAAGGCAAGTAGAATGGGCTTCCCTGTGCCCCACCAGCCTCTCTAGAACACAGAATCCATTGGATAAGGCAGGTGCAGAAGGGGAGAGACATTGGAACCATTATTTCTTCATTGCCTTGGATAAAGACTGGGAGATGGCCAAAGAATCGTTCACACACCCCTCACTTGGACTCCAATCTTCTCTCTGTGTACTAATACCTCCCAATCATGTGTGGGGAAAGAGAGAGAGAGAGAGGGAGAGGGAGAGGGAGAGGGAGAGGGGGGGGAGATTTCCAGGACTCTGAACAGCCAGTAATGCCCTTTATGGAGTGCAGTTGGCCATTTGCAGCCATTACTAAGGCCTGTGCCAGCCTTTCCCCCTGCCAAAAAAAGGGAACATGGAACAAAGACTCCCAGTCAACCTGTTATACTAGCCGAGGGGTGCTATCGGCCATTTCAGGCTGTCTCAACATTCAGAAAAAATATTTGGTAAGTGTTGAGAGAGTCACAGTGTGGGCTCTGGACATGAAACCCACACTCTGCTCATTCATGATTTTGATCAACCAGCCTCCAACTGATGCCCTTCGCAGCTAGTCTTTTTTCCCTACCTATTAAAATAGACACAATCACAGACTGCAACACAGACACGCTCAAGTCATAAACCTACTCAGCTGTCCAATCAATCTTCCTCCATGGTTCGTTCAGCATACGAGGACCTAATGAGGAAAAATATAAGACAGGGGTGACACTTCGAAATTGTAAATAACCAAAAATTTAAAAAAAATTAAAAGTTTCCTCTTTAATGTGAGTTTACCTTTTCCTTGTTATATTTCCTTCTTATTTAGAGTTAATTCCAAATAAATACACTTCAGTATCTTGCATCAGGAGGACAGTAGAATGAATGACTTCTGAAGTCACTTCCAACTGCAGAGTTCTGTATCTGTTAGTTATCTGTAAGGTTCTAAAAATTGATGCACCTCACTGCCTAACTCTGTGAATTACCTGGCCAGAGGGTGCGAGTCTGACTCCTCACCTGTGATGCTTTGGGAAGCTCAACAGCCCCAGGGTAACCCCAGAAGAAGGGAACAGATAAAGCACTTCTGAGTATTTTCTATCTAGAATATCATAGAAAGGATCGCCCTAAATCAGAATCAATTTAGCAGCATACAACTATTATTTTTAAAATGTGATACCAATACTTGACCAAATAGAGGTCTGCATGAAAATGCTTGTAGTGCATGCCTGTTCTGCCTACTACATCCAGTCACAGTCATTGTAACCTGGAAAGTATAATCAGACAGGCAAACAGGGTGGGGAAGGCATTGACACTCTGAGAACAGGAAGGATAACCAAGTACCTTTTGCAACTTGCCTTGGGCACTCATGGTGGGGCGGGTGCTTTCTTAGTGCACAGCAACCCTTTTCAAGACTGCTATTTATTTATTTATTTATTTATTTATTTATTTATTTATCTATCTATCTCATTTATTTATTTATTTATCTATTTATCTATCTATCTATCTATCTATCTATCTATCTATCTATCTATCTATCTATCTATCTATCTATCTATCTATCTATCTATCTATCTATTTGACTTATATGCTGCCCACTCTACCCAAAGGTCTCTGGGCTGCTTACAACAATTAAAATTCATTTCATCTTGGGACCCTAGATGCAGAATCCAGAGCTGGGTATTTGAATCCTTATTGGGACTCCCTGAAATGAGCCAGCTGGAATCACCAGGAGCATATGCGGAGGATGGATTTAAGTCTACTGCCATCTATTCAGTCCTGGGCAAGCTGGAGAGTCCCAGAACACTTCTAAGAGAGACCTCTGAGTAGTTTCTACCTAAAAAAAAAACACTTGGGAAGTCACCAGATATTGGGATCCACTTGATGACATATATAGTGGTGTCTCGCTTAACGGGTGCCCCGTTTAATGACGAATCCGCATAGTGATGAAGATTTTACAATCGCTTTTGCGATCAGATTGCGATGTTCCCTATAGGGAAAAATCGCTTTGTGATGATGGCTTCCCCCCATCATCGCAAAAGCCCCATTTTTGCACAGCTTGCGATG